TAATTGTTTCTTTCTTTAGATTTTGCGCTATATACCGGTACCCACAAGGTTAACAAGAAAGGAAAACATAAAACTCAGAAAGACCAGATTTATGTTTAAATCCACTGATCTAAAAAGTTAGCTCCTGGAAGGAGCATAGGATCCAATTTCCAGTGAGATCAGACAGTGAAAAAAAAAAAAAAACTGAATTAAGGAAGTATACAAAACTATATTGTGTTAAAGGTTAAAATTGTATTTCCTGAGAAAATAAATGCCTTAAAATCTTTTTTTTTTCTTCTTTTTTCACTCGTCGCTGTCTGATCTCACTGGAAATTGGATCCTATGCTCCTTCCAGGAGCTAACTTTTTAGATCAGTGGATTTAAACATAAATCTGGTCTTTCTGAGTTTTATGTTTTCCTTTCTTGTTAACCTTGTGGGTATATAGTGCAAAATCTAAAGAAAGAAACAATTAAAATGCAGATAAACGTGGTTTAATCATATTTTGCCGGGCTACGCTGAGCATGGCCGATTATGTTGGAAGTGTGTATTATGTGTATTAGCCTCAAGAAGGCTAATACACATCTGTAAAAATTAATTTCTATGATTTTTCCAAGTGACTTAAAGATAAAAATAAGTGTGTGTAGTACCATAATCACATTATTTATGGCGACCTGGATGAATATATTTACTTGCACATGCTCATATGAGCTAATTGTTCGGGAAGGTCCAGGAGCCATGCCTTCCTCAGATTCCTGCTTGCTGATTAAAGAAGAAAGCAGAATGTGAGCAGAACAGACACCAGAGGCTGCAGACAAGCTGTGTATCTGTCAGGGCAGCTTACAGAAACATGTTGGTTTGTTTGCTATTAGGATTACTTGACACGTTATCATTGGATTTTAAGGACATTTTTACTGGAGGTGTATCTCATCCCCAGGAACAATTCATTAAAATTTCGTGATGTCACCTACGCAGGTTATGAATTCTTACCAGTTTGAATGTTGGCTCCATATTAAGGGCACTCTTTGATTGAAACTGATCCAGCAACTTCTAATGCTATGTTCACACCTACAGCAGCAGAAGTTGCTAGTTTACATGCAAAGTCAATGTTTGACGCACACCCTGGCGCAGCAAAAGGTCCTGCAGCTCATTTAAAGCAGAGCCTCATGAGCTTGTGAGCATCTGAGGCACTTCAGAAGCAGCAGCTAATGGAGTAGGGAAAATGGAACTTTTGCTGCTCGACTCGCCACATCAACCAATCAGAGAAGCTGATCTGGGAGCTGGCAGGGAGACGGACGCAGCGCTGATGCAGATCGCTTTGATCACTCCTCTGAGTTCGGTGCTGCTGATTACAGATCTACAGCTGTTGATGAGCAGTGCAGCGTGGTTAGGCCGGTTCTTCCTGAAGTCGACCATGATCTCCTTCATCTCCACATTCTGGATCAGGTTGTTGTCTCTCTATCACCCCCCCAGATGCTCCACCTCCTCTCTGTAGTCCTGTACTTTTGAATACTTAAGTATTTTTCAAAAGGTAGTACTTTAATACTTTAACTTCAGTAGATGTTTAACCAGGTAACTTTTACTTGTAGCTGAGTAACATTTGATTACCGGTATAAGTGTCAATACTTTTAATCAAGTACTATAGTTGAGTACTTCGTCCACCACTGCTTATTGACAAACTAACAAACTTAATTAAACAGACAAATACTGGACAGATACTAAGTACTTTTTCTTTAAATTGAACAAATACGTATAACACAAATATCCAAAACAAGGAATAAATAAATAAACAAATTCCCCTTCCAATTACAACAAGTTGTGTGATTCGCTGAGGAAGCTGCGTCGATCAAATAAGGAGAGGAAAGCTGGAGCTCCAAAGGAAACTGGCAACCTAAAGAAAAAGAAATGAATCCACTCTATTTTAACCAAAAGTTTGCAAACTGACAAATATACTTAACGAAATGTGTGCATTGCAAATAGCTGAGTAAAGAGTCGGGCTAATGAAAATATGAGTTGAAATCTATATGTAAACTAAATAAAAATATAAGCCAGTTTCCATCCCTCATCACCTTTACAGTGTGACGGCTGGATGTCACACAGAGGTTACAGGACAGCTGGTCAGAGCTGAAGGAAAGATGGATGGAGCTGTTTACACTGCAGACTCTGATGTTTGCAAGAGGCTGAAAAAGACAATCGGTCGAGGATTTCGGAGCATTAATGATCAGATCAGAGTACGCACTTCTTCTGTGTTAGAAAGATGGATTAGAATACAGTGAAAAGCTGAAAACTGACTCTTTCTATCCGGTGTCGCTACTGAGATGTTTTGCAAAAGACATTTGCAGATTATTTTATTCTCTAGATCCAAAACCCTGTGACCCAAGAAATAACAATGCAACTGACCGACGTTACATTGCTAATTACTTCAATCCTTATAAATACAAAAGTGATTATATTCATTTTGGAACAAATGTACCATTTTATTGACATTTATTTATTGAATCCATCAATTTAAATATTATTTTATTTATTTTATGGTGCATTTTACAGTTTAACAGCACATTCAATGTTTGATGTATATATTACATCAATAAATACATTTTACATCTGGATATTTCATGGTACATTTATGTAATTCATGGCATATTTTGCACCTTCATGCCTCAGTATACCTCAGGGTCCATAGCAGCTATAATTGTGGAAATCTAAAACATACAAGGCTTCCTTTATTTATTTATTTATTTATTTTTTTCACAAAAAAAGGAAAATTCTGCATATTTTATTCTTCTGCCTCACAGTGCTACTTTTTGTTGTTTATACATAGTTTCACAGCGCGTTCAATGTTACAGCAGGTACTGTGTCTCACTAAAGCGAGAACACCAAAAACATGTTTCTAATCATTATGCTTCTGTTAGACAACAATAAAGATGTGACGTTTTGGTAAAGAGCAGAACGTCTTTGCTGCAGTCAAGCATGGCGTGTTAAGGTAATTCTTTAAGACTCACATGGACAATAAGAGACAGAGGTCACCACTTTATTATTTGACATTGTATCTATCATATATTTATAAGATATGATAAAAAAAAAATTCAGTAATATGAGGAGTGCACTCACTTGGATTTAAATACTGTCTTTAGTGGTTTCTTTGGGCATTTTAGATATTTAATCCTCCACAATTTAGGTTTTCTTTGGGTATTTTGGGTCCACCTCTGGTAGTTCATAAACATTCATGTTGGGTATCATTGGAGTCCAAATTTGAGTTTGACAAAATCAAAGAGGAATCTTCTAAATTTGAAGGTTTAAAAATGTATTATAGATCTCTTATAGATTTAATGGTTAACCTCACATCGTACCGCCTATGTTATAGAGGTCTGAGGCTCGTACCACGAAGCCAGCTCAACCTATCGGAATTAAGTCCAGTCAGTTTAATCAATCCACAACAATGGTAATCAGGATCACAACGATTTTACCATTAATCCCCCATCAGTGCATCTTCAATGTAACATTTCCATTCTCATTTCGCCTGCTACAGCAAACAAGAAGGAAATATATATATATATATATATATATATATATATATATATATATATATATATATATATATATATATATATATATATATTTATATATAGTAATACAGTCTGTATTTCCCCCGAGCCGCTCAGCATGGCCGTACATGAAGTCTGTGATAAAGTGAGGGATGCACTGCTGCGGGTCACACAGCCGACACATCTGGCATATACATGCAGCCCGGCCCATGACAACCTGTGTGTCTGAAATAAGTGTCACAGTGAAAGGATCTTCTCACAATCTGAGCTCTGATTTTTATTATTATTTTGCTTTTTTATTTAGCTTCATATATAATTTATAGAGGATAGCAGTGAGTGCCAGGGGTGTATGAGGACATTATACAGGAGAGAACAAATATAAAAGGTTGATATGTCAAAAAAGAGGGAAAAAAAGACATTTATGAAAGAATTGAGAACTGTGAAATTTGTCAAGAACACATTTTGGTTTAACTGTTTTTTTATTTTCAAGTTATTTTCTTGTGAAGTTGTTTAGTTTACTTCATTTTGCTATGAATTAATTTGGGTCTTTGATGAAAGGACGGGTCAGTGTTTCCCGAGCAGCTGATTGACTGCCGGGTGGATCGTTTTCTTGGATTCACATCAATCCTGAACGATAGCCTGCCTTCAGAGTATGTTACAATGGTGACTAACCTCTGCTGTACCAAAAAGTCCGGGTTAAACCTGAAGTTGTCAACTAACCCAGGAGTCCTGCTTCGTGCTACAGGCCTCTGGTCTCTCTGCTTCAGTCTATTTTTGTCAACTAATCTAAGAAATCTTCAGTCAGTATTTTTCACACATGAGTAAAAGATCTGTGAGGAACTGTATCAAATAAGGACTCAGTCTGCCATCATAAACTCCAAACCCTTAGAATACAGATCAAGAAATAAATATTTATTGTCAACTACAGTTTGCACTATAATCGAGATTTCAGTTTCAGCACAAACTGTTCATCACATACAATCACGGGGCGGCCTTGGACAGGGGCCATGAGTGCCAAAGAATGCTGCCATTAGATGCATTCTTGCTAAAGATACTTGATTTGATTTTTTGGTGGGAATTTGTTGGCTGTATTTAGATGATTGGTAGAGGTTCCTGTAAATCCAAAGATGTGGAACCTATACTATCTTAAATGAATTTAACTTGAGTTATCTGAAACCTAGGTTACCTTGAAGACCTTGCTTATTAAAAGAAATTGATGTTTGCTTTTTGAAAGCTAAACACTGTCTTGCATCTTTGAGGAATCTCATGAGCGATTGAAGGAACAAGTTTATACTTTGCCCTTAATAAGTTACTTTAATAAGATCAAGCTTGATCAATTTTTGGTAATCTGGGAAGCCTTTATGTTTGGCTGGTTAAAAATTATATTTAACTCAACATGTGGAAAGAGACCTTGAAAGGTCTCTTGGTAAAACAAAAGTTTTTTTATTCTTACTTGTGTTTGTTTTTCTTTTTTTGTCTGTGGTATATCTATGTGTAAGTTGGCATGTTTGTTTTCTTAAAAGAAAAAAAGAATAAAGATATTAATTCAATTAAATTCAGTTTATTTCTGTAGTGCCAATTTACAACATGTCATCTCAAGGCACTTTACAGTTCAGCCAGATTAAACAGTCAGATTGATTCAAAGTTTTCTATCTAAGGAAAACCAGTTGATTGCATCGACTTGTTGACTCGAAGGCAATCCCTCACTCTAAGCATGCTTGTAGTGACAGTGGAGAGGAAAAACTCTCTTTTAACAGGAAGAAACCTCCAGCAGAACCAGGCTCTGTGTGAGCGGCCATCTGCTGAGGCCCACTGGGGTTCAAGGAGACATAAATTTAAAAAAAGACTAGTAAACTTATTTAAATCTAAGTAACTTAAAATCTGTTTTGCTCAGGTTTTTTTTATTTTTCATACGTCCACTTTTAATATTTTCATTTTCTTTTTGTCCAAATGCGCCATTCATATAATTATTTAATCAGCCAGAATGATTAAACACATTAAAGTAATCTAAGAATGTAATTAAAGAACAAGCCAATCCTCCCACCCAGGAAGTTGTCACAAAATCTGATTGATAAAAAGATGGATTAAAAAAAAAGTATTTTAGAATAGGAAAATGTTGTCATAAATTTCAAACATACTGTTCTAATTACAGTTTCAGGGCTGTGAAACACACTATGTTGACTTTTTTGTTAAAAAGCACATCATAGCTGTGTTAGCTAGGAAGATAAATTTCTTTAGGTTTTGTTATTTATTATTTATATTAAATAAAACATTTTTATGTATATAATGTTTCGTTTTCGAGTAATTTGTGAGTTTTAATCGTTTTTATTAACAGTATATACACAGAATTAATAATTCCGCGGGGCAGTTCATAACACTGTCCTCTAGAGGGCGACAAACATTCTACTGAAGTGTTTTCAGTCGGCAACAGGAAGAGAAATCTAAAGTTATGACCGGAAGTCCGTTTTTTTTTCAACACAACCTCACGCTGGTAACGAAACCTGTTTCTCCACAGACACATGAGCAGTTTCTCTCTGGGGTATTCAGGTAATGAAGCGTATATTAAAGTTTATAGACGGGTTGTGAGTGTGTAAAGCCCTCTATGTTGATGGTGTTTGTTTTTTTAACGGTTTGTCGCACCTGTCTTAAGCTAACGCCAGTTTTAGCTGCTAAGCAGGGTTAGCCTGTGCTTTAACGGAAACTGAAAGAGCCTAATGGTGACTAGAATTGCCCGGAAATAATAATCCTGTTTGTACGTTGTTTTTTAGTTTGGTAAAAGTATGTTGTACTTAAAAATTAAATAATTTGACGTTTTTAATAACATTTTATTCGCATCTCTATCGAGGAAACCGATTTGATGTTGTTGTACACCGATAAAGTTTGCTGATGGGTTTTTTATTTTTTTCATAGTTTCGTTTCTTTGATTAGTCATGAAAAAGCAAGACACGGAAGAGTGTCCCAGCAGTCCTGGCAGTGAGGATGCTCCACCCACGGCTTCAGGCTCGGAGTCACCTCCACCTGCTGCTGGCCAACCTGCAGCGGAGGCAGCTGGAGGCGGATCGGATAGAAACAGCCCCGAACAGACCGAATCACAGAGCCCATCCTCAGAAAGCCCTCCGCCAAGCGGCGAGGGGGGAAATGAAGGTTAGTGCCCATGTAGCCTGAACACCTCTGTTGTTTCCTTCTTTTTATTGTCACCCTAAGGTTGTGATGTGATAAAGTCTTTAATTATTACAGTTTCCACCCTATATTTTTTTTATTATATAAAAAAAAATCTTATGTAAGAAACCTTGCTTGTAATTATTGGATTGGAAAATTGCTCTTCTGTTGAATCATAAGTTGACCTATAGATCGGTTACCATGGCAGCGACCTAGAGCAGCTCCTCTGGACAATTTCACAAAATATATAGAACGATACAAACTAGACATCAAACCCGCATCTATGATCGCCAACGCCTGCTGGAGCTATGGTCACAAAATGTTTTAAATACGGACATTATTGA